GCTTTCCTAAATGGAACTCTTGATGAAGAAGTAGTCTACATGAAGTTGCCTTCTGGCTTCGAAGACAAAGAAAAACCAGGATCAGTGTGTAAATTGAAGAAGTCTTTGTATGGGTTAAATCAATCTCCTAGGGCATGGTTCATTCGATTCAGCACAGTTATGAAAAGATTTGGATACACACAAGGACAGGCATATCACACCCTATTCGTAAAACAGTTAAGGGATGGAAAAAAATCAATCTTGATTGTGTATGTTGATGATATTGTAATCACAGGTGATGACAATGATGAGATTACGAATCTCAAGGGCCTACTACAATCTGAGTTCAAAGTTAAGTATCTTGGAAAACTTCAGTATTTCCTTTGGATGGAAATTGCTAGAAGCAAAACTGGTATTTTCATTTCTCAAAGAAAATACATCCTAGATCTGTTGAAGGAAACCGGGAAAAGCTTGGTTGTCGTCCAGCTAGCACTCCACTGGAGAAGAATTGGAAGCATAAGATCTCTGAGAATGATCCTCYAGCTAACAAAGAGAGATATCAACGTCTTGTGGGAAAACTAATCTATCTATCACTTAGTAGGCCCGATATTGCCTATAGTGTTAGTATAGTTAGTCAGTTTATGCATGTTCCAACCGAGAGACATCAGTGTGTTGTTGATCAGATCCTTAGATATTTGAAAGGAACTCCTGGCAAGGGTATTGTTCAAGAAAAGTGATAACCAGTTAGTTGAGGGATTTGCAAATGCTGATTGGGCTGGTTCGGTTGAGGACTGTAAGTCTACTACAGGATATTGTACAAAGGTTTGGGGGAATGTTGTTACATGGCGAAGTAAGAAGCAAACTGTTGTGTCCAAAAGTAGTGCAAGAGCAGAATACAGGGCAATTGCACAAGGGATTTGTGAGTTAATATGGCTTGAACGACTACTGTCAGACTTAAATGTTTCCACTTGATAGTCCAATGAAACTGTATAGTGACAGTAAGTCAGCAATATCAATTGTACACAACCCTATTCAACATGATCGAATGAAGCATGTTCGCATGACAGAAATTTCATCAAATCAGAGATCGAAAGTGGAAAAATTTGTCTATCCTATGTGCCATCTGGTTCACAGGAAGCAGACATCCTCACTAAACCATTACTTAGGGTCGGGCTTGAGACAAATGTATCCAAACTGGGAATGATTGGTATACATTCACCAGCTTGAGGGGGGGTGTTGGAAAGGGATGACGAGGATTATTCCTTGTGGAATCCGAGTCAGAATCTTTCCTGTTTTTTAGTTATTTATTTTCTTATTTAGGCTGTGATTATCTTCCTTTTTTAGGCTGTGATTTAGTTTCCTTTTTTTAGGCTAAATTAGTGGGTTAGTTTCCTAGAATAGCTCCTAGATTGATTCTTAGAAGTTGTATATATTTGTACAGATCTTCTGAATGAAATTAGAACAGAAATCTTCAAACATTTGTTTCTCTTTTGAATTTCAGCACCTTTCTACTTGGACAATAGAACCTGAATAGAATTCTTCTTAGTCACAGATGCAAAAGTCTCCTAATAATGTATTCCATATGCTTGCATATTTCTTTTAGCAACTAGTTAGCTTTGTGTTTTTCTATTGATCCATCAGCCTTGTATTTTACTTCAAAACAATTTTATCAATGCGGTGGAGTGTTGGCTAGTTGTCTAGGCTTCCCTAGTTAATGTGGTGACCAATTTGGTAATAAAATATGCATTCCAAATTTAAGATATTGATGCAATCCCATAAATAAGTTAATACAAGCTAAAACAATGCAAGAAAAAGAATGATATTGAACTTTTTTTTTTGATAAATGAGAGTAATTTTGTTAATTCAAATAACGAAAATACAATCAGCCTAGGAGGATGATATTGAACATTTAATTTAGTTGAAGACAAAATTTCTAAAGAAAGTGTTCAACGTTGACTATTTAATATGCCCCTGTATTTGTAGCAACTCCATATCAACACACTATTGATTAGAAGAAAACTCAAAAGAATTCCTCCACTGCCTTATTCTATTTTATGCTTATTTTTTTTTCTATTATATATTCTATCATTGAATCATGTTCCGTCGCAAGATTTAAAGAAACATCATGAATATAACAAATATTCAACAGTATTTCAAATAATTAGAGATACAATCAAGAAATAAAGCTTTAAAATGACTTTTTGGTTGATTAGATTGACTAGTCATTAATCATTAATCAATTAGTCAACCTAGTCAATGCTTAGTCGTTCCAGGTGATCACATCATGAGTATTGACCAACTAGTTAGTGATGCAGTTTTCCTGGCCTTCAACTGACTAGTTAGTTGGCTTGTTGATGCTTTAATAAATAGTGAAAATAGTAAGGCTGACCAAGATATTTCATAGAAGTATGTTGGCTGTCAGATCTGGATATTTCATAGGGGTTACAAGGATTCTCAAGAAAGTTAAGTGGCTGACAAGAAACATGACAGTAAGCTTTCAGTGGGTTAGATCAGCAAATGCTATGGATATGGTTTCCTGGCCTTGGCAAGCAGACTTGTCATCACTTACTGATATCCTGCCTATTTGTTTCAGAGATCTGGTGTTGGTTTTTCTCTCCTTTTGGTTGCAGGTGGACCCCCCCTCCCGCCGAAATGTACAAAGCCTATTCCATTCCACTTCTGTTAGGGGGTTGAAGAAGAGAGGGAAACTTCTGTGGAGATGTATAAGAGCAGCTATATGTTGGACAGTCTGTGAAGAAAGAAATAAGGGTGCCATCATTGAATTAAGACTTTGAAGCTCTTTGAAAATTATTCAGAAGGAGACATTATCAGGAAGTGGAAAGAAGTGGCTTGGTCAACTCCAAGGGAGATTTCATCTAACCCATTTTGGTCTCCTCCAGCTTTGGGGTTCACTAAACTAAACTTTGATGGTAGTAGCGAAGGAAATCCAGGCCCGTCAGGTATAGGGGGAGTTTTCAGGGATGGAGAAGGTCGAATTATTGCCTTGTATTCTGGTTCTATTGGATGGGGGATTCTCTTAGAGCTGAAATATTGGCTGTTTTGGAAGGGTTAAAAAGAGCCCAAGAGTTGATCATCAGAAAACTGATGGTGGAAGGTGATTCTAAGCTGGCTGTCAATTGGCTGTGAAGGATGATGTTAGTTTGTGGAAATTTCTAAATGAGAAAAAGAAAGTTAGACAGCTCATTCAAAACATGGAAGTCAAGTTTCAGTAGACTAAGAGAAGTGCCAATTCCTTGGCAGATTCATTGGCCAAACAAGGGGTGGGAAGAGTCAATTTTTTCTGGGCGACATTGTAAATTGAACTATATTTGTTGGGAAGGTTAAGAGTTTTTACCCCTCCTCTTGTACTTTTTTTCTATTAATATCTATTAATAAAAGTTTCTGTTATTTATCAAAAAAATGTTTTCTTTTCTTTTTTTTGATTTTCACCATAAATTCTGAAAATGTCCTACAATTAATCCAAAGGACTTGGCTTATTGCATCGTTGGGTTTCTCATACACCTATTTAAAGGTGTTTTCAGGAAACCAATTATTTTATTGATTAAAGAATATAAAAATATTTATAAAAATGAAAATTTGAAAAAAAAACTAAAAAACTAAAATGTGTGGGGTAAAATGTATCAATACACCCCTGCCGATACAATTGGATGTATTGATACTTTAAACCATGCTTGTATTTGGTACCATTGCTGTCTCTACCTTAAATGTTTTGGCCCTTTTGGGTTGATCAATGCAAATTAGTGAGAAATATGTCTTGTCAGTTGTCGCATCACATAGGTGAGTCAAACTAGAATATGCATGTCTAGGACTGATCATTGATGTTTTTAGTCGAAATATCAAATGTACAGTTTCAGGTAGAAACATTAATTTGTATCGATTAACTGAAAGCATTTCAGGTAAAAAAAATATCTATCTGAAAAATTTGTATTGATCAACCTAAAATGTTTCAGGTAGAAACAGCAATGGTACCAAACACAACCTTAATGTGTATTATTAAAAACTCCTGAATTCCTCTCCCTTGATCTGGAGCTTTTTTTGAACAGGAGCAGACAACCTGTACCTGTTCTGATAACATTTTCAAACCTGCTGATCGACGAGAATTCCCCACTCTTGTAATTAACTTGTGTGTTAGATAAAAAAGAATTTGAGATGATCAATCTTATTTCACTCTTGTAATTAACTTGTGCTAGATCGACGAGTAGGAGATTGTTAAATGAGTCAAGAACAGAGCCGTTAGGTGTAGATAGTGATGTAGGATCTTTGTGATTCAGCATTTTTCTTGCAACCAACTTAAGTCTAGATGTGTATCGCAAACAAAGAACTAACAGAGAAAGGGATTGAAATAAGATGAAAACCCTAGGCAATCACACCTAAGGGTAAGGGAAATTGCACCCCCAACTTGGCAATCACACCAATTTCTGTAGAGAAACTTTCTTGTTCATTAGCAAAAACTATCCCCCAAATGAGTCGTATAAGTTTAATAAGAAGTAAGCTTCCAAAGGAAGAAATGTAAGAAAACATACCCCCCTAAACAATTGCAAACATAAAGCCAAACAAAGGGAAATTACTAGACTATGACCTGTTCCCAAACATACCCCCCTAAACATACAAAATTACAAAAATACACTTGCTGTCCAGAAATGTAAGAAAACCAAATAAGTCCTGTCTTGCAGCAAGCTTAACCACACAAAGAGCATCTTAAGGTGGATTGAAGACTCTAGGGCCTTCCCCAAGTTGATCTACTGCTAACCCAGCTCCCATGTGGGCCCACATCTTCTAATGATGCCAAATGAGCATAGGAGCAGCTTTGGTTCTCTTTTGATATGCCTTAAGTTGATCCCATCAGATAGAATAGTTGGCATTAAACAGAATGGAATGGTGAAACAGGATTCATATAGCTGATCTTATATAGTTGGGATAAGGCTTTTCTGGTTCATCTTTTACTGCTTTATCTTAAATTATAATGGACACTAGCCACCCAATTTCTACTTTTCATGCAGCTTGGAGGACCTGATAATGTTGCAGAAATGACAGGCAGACGAGGCATGCTTGTAAGAGCCTCTACTGGTAAAGGTGTTATTTATCAGGCACGGAACACGTAAGTCTGGATTTTTTCCTTCATTTCTCTAGTTTCTAACAATATGATGTAATTGGTTGAAATTGTAAGTTATTTTACAGAAAGGACGTGGCCTTGGAAATGGTTAACATGCATGAGAAGAAACTATTCATGGATGGTAAAAAGTTGGTTGCTATAATTTCTGAAGCTGGATCTGCTGGTGTTTCTTTGCAAGCAGATAGAAGGGCTTTAAATCAGGTAGAATGAGTTGACTCTTGACCTTAGTAACTACTGGAAGTGAATGCTTTTTTTTTGTCTTGTTTTGTTTTTCTATATCTTCTACTAGAAGATTCTTGACCTTAGTAACATAACTGATGGTTAATAATGTGTTTGGATTCAGCATCCCTTCTTGAGTTGAATGTTTTAAACTTGTGATCTCTTTTGTGCCTGTTGGCTTTTACATGCCAGAAAAGAAGGGTCCATCTAACTCTGGAACTTCCTTGGAGTGCTGACCGAGCAATTCAACAGTTTGGACGAACTCATCGTTCAAATCAAGCTTCTGCACCAGAGTATAGGTGAGCTTATCACTTCCTTTTATACATAATAGAGTATTACATATATTCATAAGTGAAATGTATAAAAGAAAGGATTGATACACAGAGGGTCTAATTGAAATTAGTTCAATGAATGACTGCTCCTCTACCCCCAAAAGAAAGGGGAAGAGCAGAGGAAAGGAGACCTGCCAACTACCATCCCAAGGTAGTAACCAAAACTTGAAGCCAAAATAAAAGAAAGGATTGTATATGCCAGCATATACAATATAGTTTTGTTTTCTACTATTCATTTGTTTCAAGTTGCCTTGGTAAGCATTTCCAGCTCAGTGTGGCCTGCAAATTTCTGGGCTTGGCGTGGGTTTTATGTTCAGACCCAGCTCAGCATGCAATAGTATAGTATAGTATAGTATAGTATGATAATATGTTATATGTATATAAATTATAACACATTTATACATATGTTATATAGTATATAGTATACAATATTATAAATATTTTTTGTAATAAAATGAAATTTAATGAAAGAAAAAGAGAATGATAAAAGGTGGCCAAAGATCACCTGAGAGAAGAAGATTTCCAACCCCAACACCCCTACAAAACCTATAAAAAAACAAAACTTCAAAAATTCTACCCACGTCAACTTAAAAACATCACCACAATTAAAAACTGACCACAAAAGGAAACAAATGTTATAAATATTAAATGCCATATATTTAATGGCAGAGGCCAAAAGTTGAGGCAGGTACCTCTCTCATTGTATCTTGTTCATTTTAGTGCATCTGTTTTAATATTATCACTGATCACATAAAGAAACATATCTTTTCTAGATATATTTCATTTGGAGCTTCCATATCTTATCATTGAAGGTTTTATTAATTTTTATTTGAAGAATGTTGTATTCAAATTTATCATTTTTTTATGTAGCTATTTTACTTTGTAGAAAAGTATTCTCTTGTCAGTGAATGCATAGTTTGGTGTGATAGGAAATTAGGAGGTTATGAACGCTAAGGACAAGGATAGACATGATTGACATGGATCCTTGGAACCTATGGTACCATTTAAGAGAAGCCATGATTTTGCCAACCAATCTGTATTGCTTGTTCAGCTGGATGCCAAGGTCTGCTAACAGTTTGGAAGATAATTAACAAGGATGGGAGTGAATAGGATGGAATTGGAGTGGAGTTACTGGAGTATTCTGGGTCCAGGGGCAGCAATTGTAACTTAAGGTGTTGGTTTCTTTTTGTTGGTGCTGTCAGTGATTTACAAGGTGTGCCTAAGTGCACAGTCGAGGCACGTTTTAAGGTATGCATCTCGCCTAGGTCCTAGGCACAGCATTTTCAAAAGGCACGTGCCTGGTGCACCTTGAACTTTTGCCCAGGTGTGTGTTTTTTGAAATTTGTGCATTTTGCCTTTTTTTTTAATCCTAGTGGCTAGGTCGAGGACTCTACCCTTAACTCCCAATCAATCCCCTTGAGGCAAGCCCAAACATGTTCTTACAAAAATAGTTTTATAATTTCAGTTAACCTTTAAAAATATTTTTTATTAGGATGAGTGAATGAATAAAAGTAACAAATAGGATGTTCTTGGAGCTTCAAGGGTCTTGGTACAAAGGTGGCTCTTAGTGAATTGAAGTAATGCAATTGGGAAAAAAATAATGTGATTGAATGTTATGTTTGATTTATTTTTACATTTTCATTTTATATTTTTACATGACTGAATGTTTTACTTTTTTTTTTCGCATTTTTCTGAATTTTGGCATTTTTTGCTGCTTCGAAAAAGGCACGCACCTTGCCTTATGCCTTGTGCCCCTCAGGCACAAAATGCACCTTGCTTTTTTGAGACAGTGGGCATTATCATATTCTATCATAGGGCCACCCTAAATGCATTGAATTTGGGGGTTTGTATAATTTTAAAGGAAAATACGCCTCTTAGAGATGTCCTGACCCAATTCCTGAAACTTTTCATTTTAATCCTAGTGTATCAGCCATTTAAAATGCACAACATGATAATTCGTTGTATTGTTTGTATCAGTACTTTGAACCTTGGTTAGTGATCCAAAATAGTAACTGACATGGCTTTTAGTGTTAAAAGTAGATTTTATTGGCATAGAGCAGAACGCAGGAGCATGTTTTGTGTAGCAGAACTTCCATAGGTGGGAGTGGTGGTGCTGTCAATTATGATAATTTTGATCAAATTTTAACTTACATTCAACATATGCCTTTTATCCCAAACAAGAGAATACAATAATTTATGTTCTAGAAGGAAATGCTTGGTAGTTTTAGTTTCTTGTTTGGTGTTTTTTAATTGGTGTTGTTTTAGTTACTCGTTACAATCTTCTTATTCCCTAATATTTAAATCCTGTATATATTAATTGATCTAAGCAAATGCATATTAGACCAGTTTGTCTTATTCAGCTGATTATATCTGTTGCACTCATTTCTTCCAGGTAATATGGGCATGCCATTCTTGTCTGACCAGATTCATTTAGTCTCATGTATGATTTGCAGGCTCCTATTTACCAATCTTGGTGGTGAACGCCGGTTTGCATCTATTGTTGCAAAGAGATTAGAATCACTTGGGGCTTTAACACAAGGAGACCGAAGGTAGGTTTGGTAGTATTTTCAATTACTGATTATTGATGAGCTTTGAATTTGTGTTTTGCATTATTGTCCTCAAACAACTGAACTATGTCATGAACAAAACGTGTCCTGAATATTTAGCTTTATGTGTTGCAGAGCAGGACCATCATTGAGTGCTTACAATTATGATAGTGCTTATGGAAAAAGGGCCCTGATGATGATGTATAGAGGAATCATGGAACAGGTTTTATCATCTTGTTGTTTCAATATTAGTATTTCCTTATTGTGCACTAGCAAAGCAATGCTGAGGTATGAATTGACTCGTGTTTAGTTTTTCAGGATTCCCTACCAGTTGTACCTCCAGGATGTTCATCTGAAAAGCCAGAAACCATTCAAGATTTTATCATCAAGGCAAAAGCTGCTCTTGTGTCTGTTGGAATAGTCAGGGACACAGTTCTTGGTATCTTTCTTTTTCCCACCTAAGCTATCTGGTAACATTAAACTAATTGGCTCTTTTTTTTCGATAAAGAAGAGTGACAGAACATTTCTTTCTTAAGAACATTCAATAAAGATGGTCTAAATTGAAATGGTTTTTCTTTCATCGGTTTCATTTTCCATAGTGAAGTGTTTTCTAATGCTGGAATCCTTGGCTTGATTATAGCCCTTGGACCAGCATTTGTAGGAATTCTTTGATGATATGATGCTCTTTTTCTTTTTTTTTTATTTTAATTTTTAACATTCATTGTTATAGGTAATGGAAAGGATTCTGGGAAAGTTTCCGGCCGTATAGTTGATTCAGACATGCATGATGTTGGCCGTTTTCTCAATCGTCTATTGGGACTGCCTCCTGAGATCCAAAATAGGTCTGTCATCAATTGGTTGGACAGCTGATGTGCTTGTAGTGAAAAATATTCTTGGATTTACAAATTTTAATGCTACCATTAAATTACAGGCTTTTTGAGTTATTCGTCAGCCTTCTTGATCTTCTAGTTCAGAATGCACGCACTGAAGGTCATTTTGATTCAGGAATTGTTGATTTGAAAGCTAATGTTATTGAATTAAAGGGGACCCCAAAGGTTATTTCTCCTACAAGAGCTCCTGCTAGCGTTGTTGCTGCCTGTTGCTCTATTTATTAATTTTCTTCTTTTGCAGACTGTTCATATAGATCATATGTCTGGGGCATCCACTGTACTATTTACCTTCACATTGGATCGCGGAATCACATGGGAGGTAAAAGATTTGAGTCTACCAAATATCTGGTGGTCATAATGCAAAAAAAAAAAAACAAAGAATTATTCATGACTTTCTTCTTCCTTGTAGTCTGCAAGCACCTTGCTTGATGAGAAGGAGAAGGATGGGCTTGGTTCAAGCAATAACGGTTTCTATGAATCTAATAGGGAATGGTTGGGAAGAAGGCATTTCCTATTAGCATTTGAAGGGTATGATGATTAACTTTTTTACACTTACGTTTTGTACTGGAGCTCTATAGGCACTTTTTTCCTTGTTATCAAAAAGGAACTGCTAATAGGCAACAGGATACCTAGTTGCCTAAGTGCCTAGCTTACAAACGAGACCTATAATTTATAGATATGATTTGTATTTACTGTGGCATATTTTCACTTGTTATTTTGTAGCAAAAAATGATAAAATAAAACCAACAGTAATGGGTTTTACATATCGAAATACATAAAACCATCATAACTTGATACTTTGGTCATAATTTTAACATTCCATAAACATCATCATCAACCAAGAAGGTAACACACATATTTAAACTCGTGAATTTTCATCTAGCAAGAATCCAAGGAAATAAGCTGGTGATGGCGTAGTAAACCCAAGCATGTGAGTATTACAACACACTAATGCAAACAAATATGCAAAACAACTGCACATTGAATCTAAGAAAGAAAGTGTTGCAGAAAATATGAAAAACAAGCAAATAATTAATTAACATATCAATACATGTACTATATATATTATCATATACATCATGGAGCACAAACTGAAATACAACATAATATGAAACATGTTATAAGGTGCCTGCTTTGGCCTTATTGCTTGATTATCACTTAGCATAGTCTTGATAATAACATTTATTTGATGTGACTTTGATTGAGATGACTGCTGCAAATTATTATTCTTTTACTTGATGATGATCAGTAAAACGTTGTTTTTCCTCCAAACAGTTGTGGATATTATCCATCTGGGTTTGGTGAGTTGAAAACAACCCTCTTGAAGTATAGAACTGCTTGAGATTAGATGCAAAACCAGAAAACAAACAAGAGAAGATTAAGAAGATGAGAGAGAGAGAGAGAGCTGGCGGCAATGAGAGTTAGAGAGTGAGGGGTTCGAACTAAACCTCCCTCTAACACTCTAAAACATTGTATTAAGTTAATCTTTGAATTATTACAGAGAGGCCCTTGGGTGGGCAAGAAATTACAAAAATAGAGTATATAAGAGTATGGGACCAGAAAAAGGCCCATTACAGAGGAAAACATAAACATATCATAGAATGACAGCCTATGGGTTATTCGGCCCATCTCCTCTACACTCCCCCTCAAGCTGAGCATAGATGTTAATCATGCCCAGCTTGCTAGTGTCATGTTGAAGYMTTRCCTTGGAAATRCCCTTGGTGAGGAAATCTGCCAATTGTCCTTCAGAAGTAATGAATGGAAGACACACTTCACCGGAAGAGACTCTTTCTCGAATAAAGTGTCTATCAATCTCAATACGTTTGGCTCTATCATGTTGTATTGGGTTGTGAGCAATGTTGATGGCAGCCTGATTATCACAGTACAACATCATGGGTTTGTCATGATCAATCCCAAGTTCTTCCTGATTATCACAGTACAACATCATGGGTTTGTCATGATCAATCCCAAGTTCTTCCATTAAGGACCTTAGCCACAACAATTCMGAGACTCCATGTGCCATGGCTCTATACTCTGCTTATGCAGAGGATCGGGCCACAACTGATTGTTTCTTACTCCTCCAAGGGACAACATTACCAGCCACTAGACTGCAATACCCTGAAGTAGATCTTCTATCATCAATATTTTCAGCCCAATCAGCATCAGTATATGCTTCAAGTTTCAGATGACCATGCTTGGTAAATAGAATTCCTTTTCCTGGAGAGCCTTTCAGATCGCACAAAATTCGTTCTACTGCTGCCATATGAGTATCTCTAGGAGCATGCATGAACTGGCTAATACAACTGACAGCATACGCAATATCTGGCTGAGTCATGCACAAGTACAGAAGCTTTCCAAGAAGTCTCTGAAAGACCCCTTTGTCTTCCAACAATGTTCCATCCGAAGCTGAAAGTTTGTGACTCATATCAATGGGAGTTGCAGCTGGTCTAGCACCCATTTTTCCAGTTTCAAACAACAAATCAATGACACATTTCCTCTGGGAAATAAGAATCCCATCCTTGGATCTAGCAACTTCTATGCCAAGGAAGTATCGCAACTCCCCTAGATCCTTAATCTCAAATTCTVTATGGAGGAAAGACTTAAGGGCCCGAATGCTTGAGGCATCATCACCAGTCACTATAATKKCATCAACATACACAATGAGATACACTGCTAGAGATCCATTTTTCTTCACAAAGAGAGTATGATCTGACTGTGTCTGAACATAGCTGAATTTAACAAGTGCAACTCTAAATTTCTCAAACCAGGTTCTAGGAGACAGTTTGAGGCCATAAAGTGATTTCTTCAATTTGCATACATTTCCTTGCATATCTTTCCCATACATTCCTGGAGGGAGACACATGTAGACCTCCTYATGTAAGTCACCATTCAGAAATGCATTCTTTACATCCAACTGATAAAGAGGCCAATCAAAGTGAGCTGCTAGAGATAAGAGAACCCTCACAGATGTCATATTGGCAAAGGGGCAAAGGTCTCTAGGTAGTTAGTCCCATATGTTTGTGTGTAGCCTTTGGCAACAAGTCTGGCCTTGTACCTCTCAATAGTCCCATCAGCCCTGTATTTAATGGTAAAGACCCACTTGCACCCAACTGGATCCTTCCCTTCAGGCAAATTCACCACCTCCCAAGTATCATTTTTGTGTAGAGCATCCATTTCAGACTTCATGGCATCTCTCCATTCTGGAATCCCAAGAGCTTCTGACACAGACCTAGGAATGGGGACATCAAGATCTAGGAAGGATGGTTCCAAAGAGGCTGAAGCAGTACCTGTTATCTCATCTATGATTGGGAATGTATGAGCCTCATCTGTTGTAAGGGAAACAACTTGCTCATTCTTGGATCTTTGCCTTTGATACACTTTGGGAYTATGGGTAGGACGAGGAGGTAAAGAAATAGGGGCACTAGGGCAAGAGGAATGAAGTGGTTGATCCTCCTTTGATTCATTTGGTGAGGATATAGGCTTGTCAAGTGACTCAACTGGGACAGGAAGAGGAAGAGCAAATACTTGTGACAGACTCTCCCCCTGTTGACAATGTCCTTCCTGAGAGGAACCATAAAAAGGAGAAAGCTCATCAAAGGTAACATCCATAGAGACATGTCGAGTGCCAGTCTTTGGATCAAAACAACAATAACCCTTTTGTGTGGGGGAATAACCAAGGAAGATGCATTTGTGGGCTTTTGGTTCAAACTTATGTCTCTGGGCACTTGGAATGTGAGCATAACAGGTACAACCAAACACACAAAGAGGAATCGGGAAGAGATCCTTGTCTGGATGAAGAAGACTAAAGGGGGATTTAAACCCTAAAACCTTGGATGGCATACGGTTTATGAGATAGGTAGTAGTAAGAACAGCATCACACCAAAATCTTGTGGGAACATGTGAAACAAACAAAAGGCTCCTTTCAACTTCAACAATATGTCTATTTTTCCTTTCACACCACTACTGATTTCACAAAACCATGAATCACACTGACATTAATTCAGCAACTCACTGACCACATACAAGCCCTCTTGAAGCTGCTCAATAGAGATTGAGCATCACAAGCACCACCACACAACCATATCTGTCACACATGGTACAGATTTCTTTGACCTTTTTAGAGGGCATTACAAGTCCAAAGAAAACATCAACTACAGTAACCTGTCATTCAACAAGTCACTTGTGACCAACAAAGGCTTCAAAACAACTACAAACCCACATAAAAGGGTCAAAAATACCCTTACACCATTCGGCCACTGTAAACACAGCCTGTTCTTGGACCTTTTTCCAAGAACCAAGGCTACAAACAACCTAGTTCTCTAGGTTCTGATCAGTCCAAGCAGATTTTGAAGGCTTTCAACCCAGAAATACCAACAACACAAAAAAAAAGGTAACCAACCTCCGATGGAGAGCTTCAGTCGACCATCCACTTCTGAAGTTGTTTTTTTCTTGAAAAACAGTCAAGTTCTGCACAGAGGAAGAAGGACTGAAGTGTTCTTAGACCTAGGTCGAATCTGTGTTCTCCATTTTCAGCCTAGAAAGAAGAAAAAAAAATGAGGTCACGAACAGAGAGGAGCAGGGGAGGAGATTTAGAGAGCAACGCCCTGCTTTGATACCATGTTTGTCTTGTAGCTACAGTAGTTCGAACCAGAAGAAGAAGAAGAAGAAGAAGAAGAAGAAGAAGAAGAGAACAGTCGAACTTGATAGCCTAAACCCTATCAGTCGACCCTAATATGGATTAGCCTCAATTAGTAGTACAAAGACTAAACTGCCCCCACTTAAGTATGGGACAGGAAGTCTCTATTAAAACTACCACATAAACACATAACTTAATAGAAATAAAATGACTAATCTACCCTTATTCGGCTAGTTCTAACAGGGTGGATTGGGAACTAGTCTCTAGGAGTAGGGCTGATGGAGGGTTATGTTTAGGTAACATACGAAGAAAAAATGAAGCCTTGTTGGGGAAATGGCTGTAGAGGTTGGGAGGTAAGAGGGATAAACTATGGATGAGGGTAATTTTAAGTATTCATGGTCATGCCATTCTTCCTTCATTTTTGCAGCACATCTGGTATGACCTCTACTCTGGGAATCAGTTAAAGTTTTGGGAGCACATTTGGGTGGGTGAGATACCTTTGAAAGACCAATTTCCTTCCTTGTTTTCAATCTCCCAGTTTTAGGGCAAGGTTGTGTCCAATTTTCTAGTTCCTTCCGAGTCTAATTTTGGGTTTGATTGAGATCTAGGGCTTAGAAGAAGCTTAAGAGATGTAAAGGTTGAAAAAGTTTTGAGCCTGGTTCAGATCTTAGACCGGGTGGTGTTGGATCCTTTTGAGAGGGATAAGAGACTATGGACCTTAACTCCCTCTGGAACCTTCTCTTGTGCCTCTTTTTTCAAGTCCCTACTACCTTCATCCAGTCCATTTGCACAAAACTTTCTAGTTAAGGTTTTTTTGGGGTGAACCTATTCCTCCAAGGATTGGAGCCTTTTGTTGGGAAGCCTTCCTCGGAAGATGTATTACTTGTGACGT